ACTCTCTCATGTAAGTCATGTCATATACAAAACCTACTTTACCATGATCGCACTCTGTAAGACTTGAGGAGATCATGAATCCAAAGGCTATTTTAGGGCTACACTGGCCTCCCTTTCTAGCTCACTGGTTTAGTCACGTTCAACACCTCTGGTTTGTCTTAGCAACCCCACCCTCCCAGCAACTCTCTTCACATCTCTCAGCCCCTCCTGTTCCACGTCCTAGCCTGTCCTGATGAATGTGTCAACCACTCTTCCAGTGAACCCTAAACTTCCTTGTTTCTCTGACCTTCATAACTTGCTGTCTGAGGAAATCTCAACTATAGAGAAATCCCATGTCTGTCTTCTCCATGTTTGGGTCTTGGCTTTCAGCTGTCTCTGGAGTAGTAAACTTTTATCACCTTTTGTCTTAGGTTGCCTTTTGATGTTCCAGTCTCAGGCTGTGCCTTGTTCACTAGCTTCTTGAATAGAAAGAAAGAGGTGAGGCAAGGCCAAGTGCATCCAGGCTGTGGAGCCTGAATACTTTCCCCTTCCAACAACACACACACACAAGGGTGGGAGACAGCGCTGTACACGCTAGTTTTTGTCAGCACCTTCCTTCCACTGCAGTGGCCAAGTGTCATCCAGGCAGCCGACACATATCAGCTCACTTGGCAGAAAGCCAACAGCAGAAGGGTGATACCTACTCCCTGTATCAGGCCTCCAGCCTGGGGAAGTTGCCTCCTTCTTTTGGGGAAAGGGCTAAGGTTTATATATAAGGAAGGAAAGTCTGCAGCATGGAGCTTTAATTAGGTTTTATTTAGAAGCTGGAGTAAACAGGTAAATCTATTTCTCAAAAAATCTTCTTGGGGATATTTCACAAGATAATCTTTGCCAAAATAGTCAGTGAAAAACGTCTAACACTCTCCTCTGGTTGATGGTATAACTATCTTTGGCACAGGTGAGTTCCAGCAAAGGCAGGTCAATGGGCAATTAGCATGTAACTGAAGAGCCTGGTCTATTTCGTGATCACCTGACTCTGTGAATTTTGTGGCAAATGCCTCCTTTTTTAGACTCTGAAACTGGAAGCCAATTTGTTCAGTTTTATGGTTATATAAATTTTGGTATCAGCCTCAGCAATTCTTCATTCTTCCCACGTTCCCCTAAGGGAAAGTGGACAATTATCAGAAAGCAGCCATGGAGAACTTCCTCTTGCCTATTACTCAGTGTTGCTGGAGAAAAATCATCACCCTATGGGTCAGATGATTCCACTGCAAATTTATGCACACTCATTCCAGCTGGGCCCCCAACATTCCCAGTGAACCCTCTGTTTCCCAACTCACTTCTTCCTCTTATTCTCCCTTCTCTACTATCAAAACTCCAGTTCATTCTCAGAAAATAGAAACCATCTAAAAAATGCTCTCTCTATTCTCACTATAATTATACAAAACTCTTCCTCCTTCCTTTCTACTACCATAGAAGAGATCTCCTTCTGTTTAAAATGGTCACTCTGCAGCAGGCAGCCTATAAACGGCTCCCAGTGATCTCCACCTATTGATATTCATACCCTTGTGTAAGCCCCTTCCCTTGAATCACTGTTGAGCATAGACTTGCTCCTAACAAATAGAGTACAGCCAAGTGTAAAATAGCACGTTACTTCTGGGGTTAGGTTAACAAAGAGATTGTGACTTCTGTCTTGGGTAGCCTCTTGCTCTCTCTTTGTCTCTCACTTACTGATCCTGAAGGAAGTCAGCTGCTGCGTTGCAAACTTCCCTACAGAGGGGTTGTGAAAGGAGGCCTCTGGCTGCCAGCCAGCAAGGAATTGAGGTTCTTAGACCAACAGCCTGTTAGGAACTGAATGCTGACAGCCACATGAGCAAGTTTAGGAGCATGTCCTCTCCCCTCCCCACACTGTTGAGTCATCAGATGAGACCACAGCCCAAGCAAATATCCTGACAGCCTCTTCATGGGATGCCTTAAGCCAGATACACCCAGTTAAGCTCTTCCCTGACTTTGGACCCACAGGGACTGTATGATAAACATTTGCTGTTTTATGTTGCTCAGTTTGGGGTAATTTATTATGCAGTAATAGATAACCAACACTAATTTCACCTGTGCTTTTGATCCTTCTCTCCTGCTTCTCTTCCCCACATCTCCCAATCTTCTATCTCTAACCATTCCTTCTCATTAACTACAAAACATGGAAAAAACTATTTAAAAGAAAGAAAACCTTTAATTTGTTTTAATTCCTCTTTCAGCTACAGCTACATTTCTCCCCTCCTCTTCAGAGCTAAACTTCTTGAGGTATCTACACTTACTCAACTCCCTTTCCCTTTGTTTCCCTTCCATTTCAGTCACCTCCTATTCTTTCCACTGCAGTGTAGTCTTTAGCTCCATGAACTCCACAGAAACTTCTCTCACCAAAGTCTCCAACGAATCCAAAGGGAATTTTCAGACCTTGTTTCTCTTGACTTTTTTGTATCATTCAGTACACCTCATTCCTCTCAAAGTGTTTTCCTCCCTTGATATCAATTATACCAGATTCCCTTGCTTTCCTTCTCTCTTTTGGAACCTTCCATTTCAGCATCTTTTGCAGGGTCTTTTTACTCTGTTCTAAAAGTTTGTGCCCCTCAGGGCTCAGCCCAAGGGTGTTTTCACTTCTCACTCTGTATACTCTACCTGGGCAAACCCACTTCTAATGAATCCCGCATCGATATTCCAGCTCCTTCCTGAGCTCCAGACACTCGGCAAATATAGAACTATATTCATCATTTACTACTGCCCCACCCCATCCTCCTTTTCTTCTTTCTTCTGTCCTAGCAAGTGACATTACTACCTGGCCATTTTTGCCCAAGCTCAAAAATTATTCTGCCTGACTCCTATCTGTCCATACACTAAATTGTTACCTTTCTCTTTTCTTAATACTTGACAATTCTGACCACTTCCCTCCATTCACAATGCTACAGCCATGGTCCAAGACACTATTATCTCTTACCTAGATAACTGTAACAACCTTCATTTTTTAAAATTATATTTTATTGATTACTGGTCCTGCATTCATTGTTCTCTCTGCAGCCTATGGGATTGTTTTACAACCCTTTAAAAATGTCAGTTCCCTGCTAAGGTTCTTCAGTATTTTTCCACTGCCCCTAGGATAAAGGCAAGGTTTTATGTCAGAGTACAGAGGTAGCGTGACCATTTAATTTATCATCCATGTGGGGCACAGTGGAGAGTAAAAAGAAGGGCCGTTAATAATTATTATATGAGCCTTATGGGATTTGGTCCCCAACAGCAGCCCATCTCCTGTGTCACCCTACACCCCAGTTGTCTGAACTTCACTCAGTTCCTTGAATACATCATGCTCACTCTTGCTTTGAGCTTTTGGATATATTATTCTTTTTGCCTGGGAAATTTCTCACCCCTCCTATTCTCTTGAAAAACTTCTATTCATCTTTCTGGCCTTGACATAAATGTCCCTTGCCCAGGGACATCTTTCCTGACTCTCAGAATCCTGTGCTGTGGGTTCCTAAAGCACATAGAACACCTCAGATTTTACTTCTTGCTTCTCTTATTATCTATAATTACTTACTTGAGAACTGACTTCCCAGCTAGACTGTACGATCTTTGAAGGAAGATATTGTGTCTGTTTTGCTCATCCCTGTATCACAAGAAGGAAGCCATTTATGGAGGTAAAGCACTCAAAGTACCTGTGTGGGATTTTTTAAAAATCTCCCATCCTTTGATGCCGCAACAGATGGGATTATCTTCCCAACCTCCCATTCCTACTTCTGCTGGCTGGTAATTTTCATAGCCTTGGGTGAAAATTAAGCACAGTAGGAATTTTTGAAGATTAAGATCTTACCCTCAGAGAGTCTTACTCAGTTGATTAATACTTAAAAAATCTCGCTGTATGATCCTGACATGAAACCAGGATTGCAAGTAGTAGTCTTAGAGGAGCGCTGTCCAATGGAAATTCTTAAAATGATGGAAATGTTCTGTCTTCTTTATCCATTGGGTAGCCATTAACCCCATGTGGTTTTGGGTATTTGTAATGTGACTAGTGCCATGAAAGAAGTGAATTTTTACTTTTATTTAATTTTACACATTTTAAATGTATACATGTGACTAGGTGATATCGACAGGGTAGCTCCAGAAAGGGGCTCTCCAATGAGTGTGCTCCAGAGTCACCCAGGGGGCTTGAGAAGCCACAGATTGCTGGGCCCCACCTCTAGCGTCTCCAATACTCTATGTAGTTCTGAAGTGGGGCCTGAGAATTTGCCTTCTGGCCAGGCCCCAGGTGTACTGATGATGGTGACCCGGGCACTTCCAACTTGTTGAAAACAGCCTCTTATGTCCCTTCCTACTTCTACAAAATCCGAATCTACATTTAAACAAAATGCTCAGATGATTTATATGAACATTAGAGTCTTTTATTGAGGTATAATTGACATGTAACCACATTAGTTTCAGGATGAACATTGAAGCTTGAGAAGCACCCATTGGGATGATCTTGTATAAGTCAGACAGTTCCAAGCTCCCCCATGACTACAGCTTTTGTGCTCTGAAATTAGTCATACCTTCATTTAGCCTTTGCCTTTCAAACTGTTTTTTTTAAAAAAAGAGTCAAATCATGTGTGTCACCCTACTCTTTGTCTCATTAATTAATCATTCTCTAGATCTAAAATTGCTTCTTGAAAACATAGAAATCCTAACAGTAAATACACAGTTCTTCATGTAAATCACAATATGTTACAGTTAAACCAAACACGTGATATTGTCTCTGTGATTTGCATTCTGCTTGCAAAGCTTTTCCGTTTATCTCTAGGTTTTTTACAGGTTGTTTTTTCTACTCTTTCAGCCCCTCTCTTAAGTTTGCAAAGCAAGATGTTGCTATAACTTTACCAAAGACTTGAGGGTCTACGGGGCAGAAACATATGCAGAAAGAAATGACTCCAGAGTTCATACCCACGCCTTTCCAAAGGCGTATTCTGACCTTTGACTTTACTTCTTGATGTGTTGTTAAGACACAGTTCACCTGCCCCAGCCTTGATACCTGCCTCCTACCAGGTGTTTGTGCCTCCTCCAAACTACAGCCTACCCACAGCACAAACCTGCATCTCGTCTGAGACCAACGACAGAGAAAAATCTGTTTCTCCTCATGTCCTGGTGTAAAGCCGGTGCAGCCCAGCGTGAGCCATCATCTGCCGTCCAGCGCCTTGGGGTCCTTGGACCTCTCCAACCCAGAAGGGATTGGCTTTATCTTTGTTCAGTCAAAAGGTCCACTGAAAGTTTCCCATCCCTCCCCCACACCCTTGAAATACTTACCTGCCTTCATAGGCACTTAGTGAAACAGAAAGATACTAGGAGTTTTCGAAAAAGTTAAAATTCTGCTGCAGATAGAGTACCTTTCCATGTCAAATAGTTTTTGTTAGTTTATTCAGGGAACAGATCGAGCCATCAGAAATTCGTTTAAAAAATACTACTGGTCATTTGTGCCTGCTTGCTGTATAAGTACAAAAAAATGACTCAAGCATGAGTCAAGTGCCCCTTTCTTACTCATTCTTTTCTTTTTTTTCAGTAATCTTAGTAAAGCTTCCTGTGTCTTGACGTAATTTCAGTGAAATTAAACTTGAACAAAGTCATTTCATCAGACAGTGCTGGAACAGCTAGACATTCATGGAGGAGGAAAATGAACCTCAACTCATACCTTGTAGCATGCACAAAAATTAACTTGAGATGGATTATATACCTAAACATAGAATCTAAAACTATAAAGCTTCCAAAAGAAATCATGGAAAAGTATCTTTGCAATGTTGGGATAGGCAATGATTCCTGAGGAAAAGGCAGAAAGTGCTAACTACAAAAGGGAAAGAAATGGTAAATTGGACTTCATCAAAGTTAAATATTTCAAAAGACACTGTTAAGAGAATGAATAGAGAAGCCACAGAATGGGAGAATATGTTTGTAACACATACCTCTGACCTAACACATGCACCCAAAATATTCAAAGTACACATACAACTTAATAATTTTAAAAATTCAATCTTCAAAATAGGCAAAAAGATTTGAATAGGCACTTCACAAAAAAAGGTAATGAATGGCCAATAGACACTTGAAAATGCTCATCATTAAGTTTTCATAAAAATACAATTGTAAACAAGATACTACACACCCATTAGAATGGCTTAAATGAAAGAGGATAAGAACTCCAAACTCTCAGATATTGCTAGGGGTAGTGTAAAGTGATAGAACTACTCTGCAGAGCGGTTCAGCAGTTTCTTGTAAAGCTAAACACACACGTACCATACAATTCGGCAATCACACTCGTAAATGCGTACCCAGGGGATGGAAAGATGACTACACAAAGACTTATATGCAAATGTTTATAGCAACTTTATTCCTAGTAGCCCCTAAATTTGAACTAGCCCAGGTATCCATAAACAAGAGAATGGATGAACAAACTGTGCTGCAGTCATACAGTAGAATACAACTCAGAAATACAAAGGAACTAACTACAAATACAATAACAAGGATGAATCTTAGGAACATGTTGAGTAGAAGAAGCCAGCTTCAAAAAAAGATTACATACTGTATGATTCCACTTACATGAAGCTCAAGAACAGGCAAAACTCATCTACAGTTGCAGAAATCGGAACATAAGTTGCTTGGGGGTGGAGGTAGTGGGGAATGACTGAGAACAGGCCAAGAGAACTTTCTGCTTTGATAGAACCTTCTACCTCTTGATAGGAGTGTGCATTGCCCAGGTGTCAAACTGAAACCTGTGTGTCCAGATTGATCAAATGTACTCATGAGAGCTATACATTTCCCTCTATTTAAGTGCTACTTCAATTTTTAAGAACTTGAGCAGCTTAAAATAATATAATCATCTCATTTAGCCTCTGTTGCATTGGTCCATTGAGCCCACTAACTCTACTAATAATGACCAACCACCCAATGGTGGTGGTGAATAGCAGTTCATATGTGTTGTCTAATGAGCTAAAATTATTGTTGCTATGAATCTTCTGAATTTTGCTAAACATAGCTGCAGATTTATTTTAACTTCTGTTTTCAACTATAACATACTATGGATTTGCTATAGAAAAATGACTGATTTTTCACCTTAATTCCCTCAATGCTTTTCACCAACATATGACCCTCTTATATGTTTTTGTTCATCTTTATTTTCTGATCTGAAATGTCTTCAGCAGTTTCTGCCTTGCCACCTAAATCCCATCAGCCTCTCACAGCCCAGTTTGAGTGCCATTTCTGCTGTGAAGCTATTATTCCCCCCTGCAGCTGACATAGCTCTCAATTCTGTCCTGGACTCCTAAAGCAATTTTCTCTCAAATACTAGCTCCCATGATGGTACAACAGCCTAAAATATATTTGCAACTTCTGTTCTGGAATGGCCTCCTTTTCTAGAGTGCAGGCCACACAGGGTGAAGCCACATAAGGTACTCAAATGCCTAAATAAATGTTATAGTAAAAAAACCCTTAATCTCATATATTATGGATCTCCCTCCCCCAAACCCAGAGCATACATATAAAAAGATAAATAATTTAAGTGTGTCCTAATGGATCTTGACTTATCTGGGAAGAATTAATAATAGGAAAAGTTGAATGATAGTCTAACTTTTAAACTCTTATGGTTAAAGTACATTGTTCTGATGCCCAAGGTCATTTTATACGTTATAGTCATTATACTGGAGGAAGTTCAACAAAATAAAACAAAAGGGATTGACAATTTCCATTTTATCCAAAGATAAGAGACTGGTTAGACTAGAAGCATCTGTTTTAAATAGGCACATCATATATTTATGACAGCTGTATATGAAGACAGCTCTATGTTTCAAATTATTTGTGGCAGTGGCAAATATTTAGTCAATTCATTAATGAGAATATGTCATACTTTCGTTGCAAAAGTTAGTTATATTGTGTTGTGTGGGAGCCTTTGGTATGTATTAAGGATCATCACTAAATAAATATATTTTAGTTTTCAGGGTGTTTTCTTTTTTTCTCTATACTCTTTACTTTATGACTGAGGCTCAAATCAGTCAGTCTGGTACTATAATGGCAATAAGAGGAGCAATACTAATAAGTCGTGACTCACTATACTGGGCGCCTGGAATCTGCTTCATGACTTCACTAATTGTTTTCCCAGTTCAGGACATTAGCCAGTGTCCCTTCTTATTAAATGAATATTTCAAAGGCCTTGCCAAATAAGTATATATAGGATGTAGGAATTAATATGGTATTAAACAAATGACAGTACCTAAATTATACTACATATCAGATATTAAGGTAGTTAAAGATATTTACTAAATTAAAAACCACCAGAGGGCAGCTTAATACAATAGTGACGGAATATTTAAAGTATGGTAGTATTTTAAAAGTAATTCCAATATGTTAAATACTATAGATATAGAAAAAAGAGAATGAAAACAGACACATTAAATATTTTAAAATTTCATTTATAATAAATGTATCTGAGTGTAGCATATATCCATTATAGTTTATATTTAGTGCACTTTTAAAGTTGATCTTCAAATACAAATGTGAAGTAAAATTATCTGCCCCCTTTCTTGTTTTTGGCAGTGGCAAAATTGTCCAGAATGCTATTTTTTAATATTAAAAAACGTTAAATTTTTTAAAATGCGATTTTAGGTTCTCTCCTCTCTATAGTGGCCACTTCCTACCACTTAGTTGTTTCTAATTTAATGGAATTAAAAATGAAAATGAAGATGATAATGATACTTTTATTTGAAGTAGTTTTCATACTTTTAAAATAATTGGTGTATTAATTTCTTTGTATTTTGTTTCTTCCTCTAGTCTGAATGCTCCATGAGGTCAAAGCTATGCACTTCAGAGACCTTACCAAACACAGTGGCTAGCAGTTGATTTTCAATAATTTTTTGTTGTCTTAAGTAAATTATTATAAATTCTTCAGGGACTAACACGTCTGGACTGTTCCGTGTTTTCATTTCCATGCCTACCATCCACCCATACACCCACCTACCCAGGCACCCACCCATCCCCACAGACATCTAACCCTCAAAGGCAATCTTCACAATAGGTTGCTTTCTCTTTGAAAATTAAAGAGAAGAAACTTTCTCAGTGATGAATTCCCATTTTTAAAGACCTTCCTTCTAAAATACATAAACTTGCTTGAGTAGTCCTTCCAATAGAGGCAGCCTCATTTGAAAGTCTGACAGCCTCCCTCAACTCTCCCTGCGGGCCTGTGTCGTGGGGAAAGAGTGTGTAAGTGTTCATTATGCTCTGTGTCCCCCCCTAAAGCCCTGGTCACTGGTTAGAAACTACTTTTTGACAAACTGAAAGATGGAGCCTTTCTTCTTTCACAGGATTTATATTATTTATTTTGTAATGCTCCAGAGCTTTAGAAGAAAATTTATTGCCATGCTTGTGGCTTCTTAATTAAAAAAAAAAAAAAAAAAAAAAAAAAAAAAAAAAAAGGAGCACTAGGATTCTGCCCTGGACCATGATTTTTCTGCACCTATAATGCACAGCTTTCTCCGCCACCTCTGTGCAGATGCCCTCCAAATCTGTACTTTGAGCCCTGACTGCTTTCCGAACTTCAGGCTTTTGTACCCACCTGGATGACCCACAGCCACCTTCCATCCAGAGTGGGAAGGGGAGAGAAGGGAGAAGAAAGAAGAGAGGCTAGAGAGCTGGATGTTTTTGGAGAGCTTACCTTCCACACCTTCTCCTTAGCAGTGTGAGGCAGCCAGGGGGAGGAGAGATGTCAATGGGTCATTTTTAGGCAGAAAGAGGCTGGAGACAACACCCCTACCCCAGGTTCCTCAGAGCTCGCTTGACGCAGGAAAAGGGTATAAAAGTTCCATTTGCTGAGGTTTGAGGATGCTGAGGATTGAGCCAATGACTTGCCAGGAGTCACTGTGAGGGGTCACCTAGAGCTGGGGGCTACGTGGCAGAGGGGTATCAACCTCTCCAAGAGGGCTGAGGTGAGGCAAGCCAAGGGCATGGTGGAGTGATGGGGTAGGGAAGCTGGGTCAGGGATTTGGGGTAGAAAGGACAACCACAGACCCTTAACAGTGTTTGCCAAGAGCAGAGATCAGAAGTCACACTGTCCAGGCACTCAATGAGCACATGCAATGAAGACGGGCCAGCAAGACACCGCTCACCTGTGGTCGGTG